GCGATAAAGTTAAACGCTACACACACAACCCCCCGCCACCCCCCTCTACCCCACAGGGGAGCCCAAGGAGGACCAGTCAAATGCAGTTAAAGAAAGCGTCAACAGTTGTCGCCTAATGTATCCTTTTTGTGCCCTGTAATGGCAAGGAGCAGGGCAATATTTGTGGCAGCCAAAACGAAGCGGAATACTGGAGTAGTGGGTATTCTTATGGTCCAGTCTCTGGGTCGCCTTCTGTGTTTCTTTTCTGCCTGTGCCCTTTGCTGCATGCGACAGCTGCGATTCCTTGGAAAGACACAAGGCATACGACGAGGACAATGCGGCTAAATTGAACGTTCCACTCGGAGCATCTTGCACCCGTTCGCCGCATCGATAATCAACGCCATGCCGTGCAACATGTTGCCGCCTTGTACAGGATATTATTATTTCTCGTCATGAAATTGCTGCCAGACGCAGCCCGGAGACAGGGTGGCGCACAGGGTGGCGCAGATGCAGGTAGTAATGATTGCATTCTCAACGGCTGGCGGCAGGAAGTGTCAACATCATTACGGGTATTGCATCGATTATGTTTGAGCTACGACTACAGCCGAGCACTGATTTTTATTGCGTTGATGGAGGATGTTTGGGTGGCGTAAGCGTCTTTAGTTCGACAGGATCGCATCAATCATCAGGGTGAGGGTCTCGTCGTAGGACCTGGTCTTGTACTTCCCGTAGAAGAACCCGAGCTTGCCGCGGTACTCGCCCGGAATGAGGAACCTGTGGGTCATGGCGCTGCCCATGCGCCAGTCGTGCATGTAGTAGTGGCCCATCTGGACGGGGCAGTTGTACATGAAGTTGCCGTGCTTGGTCATGTCCTTGAACCAGGACTTGAACAGGCTGTTCTTCACGGTCGAGGTGACGGCACAGACGTCGTTCACCTGGCTGAAGACCGACTGGAAGTTCTTGGCATTCGCCAGCCGCAGCTGGATGTCGATGTGCACCCTGAAGCCCCTCAGGATGGGCCTGTTGAGGTCCATGTCCATGTTCATCATATTCCTCGAAATGGTCAGCGAGAAGTTCTTGAAGTACTTGGGGTTGTAGCTGCAGTTGCCCGCCAGGAACTCCACACTGCGTTCCTGGAAAGGATCTCGGCTTGAGCGGGGACCCACAAGGGGAATCGGAGGGATCTTACCCCTGCAACGAGCTGCGATTGAAGGCAGAGCAGAATAATCACGGAGTAATGAGGCAATTTGCACATTTCGAAGCCCACGACAAAACGCAAATGAAAAACCGAATGCTTCAGAGCCAATTACGGACATGGGGGGCCATTTATTTCCAAGTCATTAGCCATTCGATGCCAGATCAGATGATGGCTGATGGATGATTGCATCGGCCGTGCAGCTCATTATGAAGTCTTCGTCTTTGCCCTTGTACTTGCCGTAGAAGTTGTAGGTCTGCAGGCGGTACGAGCCGCTCGTTATGAACGGCGGCACCAGGCCCTCCCCGAACTGCCAGCCCCTCAGGTAGTAGTGGCCCGTCTTGAGGGGGCACTGGCGCAGGAAGTTGCCGTACTTGAGCATGTTCTTGTACCACTTTTTGAACAGATTCACCTTGGCGGCGTTCACAATGTGGCACACGTCCACGCTGGTGGAGAAAAGGCTCTGGAAGCTCTTGGAGTTGCCCACCCGCAGCTGGAAGTCCAGGCGGGCCCGCCAGCCCTTCGGCAGGGGCCGCCGCAGGTTCATCTCCAGAAAGATCTGGTCGTTGCGTATGCTGAAGGAGAAGTTGTCAAAGTATTCGCGGTTGAACCGACTTTCCCCAGCGATGAATCGGATGTTGCGATCCTGACGGGACAAAGAGTGAGAAACCCGCTGTGGATGTCCCTGGAAAATACTCACCGCCTCGGCGGAGCACAGAAACAGACACAGAAACTCCACAAGCTGTAACATACACATCATCTGACGACCCATTGCTCTTTACTAAACCCAGGAATCGGCTATATGTAAACCGTCGGAGTACCAAATATATTAATTAACTCATGCATTGGGGCCTGACAATCCGATAACACCGCTTCCCCTGTCGTCTGTCCTCTGTCCTCTGTCTGAGACCAGACACATAATGTACTCGTGTGTATCTGATTAGGTGACCACCGCCTCCACGTAGAACTCCACGAGCGGATTCTCATCGTTCTTCTTAAACCTGCCGTAGAACAACGTCACAGAGATGCGGTAGTCTCCCACGTAGAAGAACGAGGGAATGTACCTGGCGTCCAGCGTCCAGCCATGCAGGTAGTAGTAGCCCCTGCCAATGGGGCAGCTTGTTGCAAAGTTTCCGAAATTCAGCATGGACGTGAACCAGCGGCGGTAGATCGACTCCTGGGCCCCTCTGATCATGGCACAGTAGTTAATGTCGTGCTGGTAGATGCTCTGGTAGGGCCTGCCCTTGTCCAGGCGGAAGTCGAAGCTCAGGTGGGTCTTCAGGCCCTGCGAAAGGGGGGAGACGATCATCATATCAATCGCCATTTTGCCATTGACGATCTGGACCGTGAAGTTGGAGAATATCTTCGGGTCGAATCTACTGCCGCCCGTCTTGAAGGTCATTCTGCTGGCCTGCAATTGAGTGATGCCTTTTCAGAAGATCCGCCAGATAAACGCGATACACCTACCAGAGCACTTCCACTTAGTTCCGTCAGAGCTGTGAAGCCCACAAGAATCGACACAAGTCTCGGGAAAAGCATCTCTGAATGAGGTCAATCCAAGCTGAAGGCAGAAAGCCCAGTATTCGTAATTGCCGAAATTAGAGAACTCGAATGGGCTGCCGGCTCAAGCTGCGTGATCGATTGGAGTGCTCTGATATCGGTAATGGGCCTCGCTGGTTATTCTATCAGGACGGCCGGATCTCTGATCAGTGCCGGATTTCTGGCGATTGTTCTGGTGAACGCACATAAACTCACCCATCATGATTTCCAGAAAGCACGATACCTATTCTTGATACGAGGGCAGCTATTTCTGTTTCGGGCCTAGACCACTCTTGGTAGTATTGGGACCCAATGTTTGGTATTTTATGGCTTAAGCCTACTGTCCTTTTATTGTTTGTTACCAGCAATGCCCACTGTACCACAGTGTAATCTGTATATAGACTATATGTACATATTCTCCATCTATCGCCTTCTCTGTCGCTCTCTCGTTCTGAATTAAGTCTGGAGGGCTAGGTCTTCTTCGTCACTTCTTGCACGTCTATAGTTCTCCGATCTGACCCCGTCTTGAACCGAGCCAATCATCCAACAGACTCGTCGTCCTCTCGTGGAAACCCTCGAGCTCAGTAGCTCAAAAATGTAAGAAAATTATCAACTAAGACGTTATAAACCATCTAGACGGGCTACGAATCGTGGATGCATAAATTTGAGTTCGAAATAGGAGACTAATCGACGGTACAAAAGGTTCCGCAACGAACCATTAAAAAGCAACTGGCCTCCTTTTTCTGGGATAACATAAATGAGGATAACATTTCTGGAGCCTTCGACTAGAATGCTAGAATGTCCATCTCTGGGATGAGAATGATCGGACGTTGTCTTCGCTCCACAATTGAATCCATTTGCTAGCACGAGATTGGAAAGACAAGAGGGGCAAGGGCCGCGGCTCTACATTTATACCCGCTACCCAGTCACTATCTCGCTCGTGTGTGAGAGAGAGGGAATGCTTAAAAGCGTGGAATGGGTTGCTTTGAGTTGTTCCTTTCGGCTATAATAATAATCCGATCTAAACCAGATTCGGCAATCTGCTAGATATGGTCATTCTCTATGATTCTGCGTTTCTTGTACTAGTTCTGGTTTGCTTGTATTTTAAAAATTGTAGAAGTCTTAGATTTCTGTTCTTGAGGGATACATTTGTAACAGTTTTGTAACAGTGTGACATCACAGGTTTCTGGATACCAAATGTGGTTGTTCCCGCTCTGGTAGTCCCTGAGCTCGAGGCGCTCATCGAGACGAACGGGCAGACACGGCTATATCGACTCGGCTTTTGATGCAGATCAGGAATATATATACTCAATGCAGTCGGAAACGTTTCCCTCTGGGTGTTACACACTTCCACATCCACCACAAATCGAATAAATGTACCCCTATACCTATGCCCTATACGGGCATAAAAAGCTCGAAAGCAGTCGCGACGATTGGCTGGACTTGAGGAGAAGCTGGAACGTGTAGAGTTTGCACGAAAGGTGTCCAGGGCAGGAGCTCTCCACTAAAGCGGCCGAACTTGTTCGACCAATCGGTTGGGTTCGACGAAAGTCCGACCGTGGATGGCCGTGTTCGAAACAAATGTTTTGTTCGACGGTTCTGTACCTCGGAGCATTATTACTTTTCGCTTGCATTTTTCAAGGTTTACTCTCTGAAAACTATTTCGCTGGCAGTGTTCGTCTAGTTAGTAGGCGAATTGGCTGATGTTCGACGAACCAGCTCGATGGATGCCCTTCGTCCGCACTCGTCTTACGCTCCCTAATAGCGCCCTATGGCAGCGCTCTGAGAGTGGGCTCGTGCTCTCTCCCTCTCACTCTCCCACTCTGTCTTTCTCTCGCTTACGATCCGCACGGGTGTCGAGCGGCCTAGCACTTTCTTAGATTTACTTACGCTATAAGCCCCGATGTGAACGGCCGTGAACCAATACACAGTGATATAAACGACGATTAGATATAGATATATGTATATGTATACCACTCGAATTTAATTCTACTTCTTTGGACCCCTCTCTGGAACAGGTATTACAAACCAGAAACTGAAAATGGCAACAATTTTCTAGTGGAAAAGGTGTGGATAGTGGATAACTATGGACGAAAAAGGTGAGTTCCAATTGTTGTTTCTTTCTATCTCGTTTTTGGAGTTTTAAATACTCCAAATAATAACCCAATTCACAACACAAACAAAAATCAGTATACCTATTTATATAAATACTTCGAGCGCGTAATATATTAATAAGCCCGCGTATTGGGGCCTGACGATCTAATCAAACTAAACGGAAATATGAACTTTAGTTCAGAACGGCTTCCACAGAGCAATCCAGCATGGGATTGTCCTCTTTCTTTTTGAACCGGCCGTAGAAGAATCTACCGGAGATCCGGTAGTCGCCCAGATAGAAGAACGAGGGTATGTAGCTGGCGTCCAGCGTCCAGCCGTGCAGGTAGTAGTAGCCTCTGCCAATGGGGCAGCTTGTGGCAAAGTTTCCGAACTTCAACATGGACGTGAACCAGCGACGGTAGATCGACTCCTGGGCCCCTCTGATCATGGCACAGTAGTTGATGTCGTGCTGGTAGATGCTCTGGTAGGGCCTGCCCTTGGCCAGCCGGAACTCGAAGCCCAGGTGGGCCTTCAGGCCCTGCTGAATGGTCGAGGCGACGACCATATCCATTAGCAGTTTCGTGTTGATTATCTGCATCGTGAAGTTTGAGAATATCTGCCGGTTGTACCGGCAGTCCCCCGTCTTGAAGGTCATTTTGCTAGCCTGCACAACGCATGGATGGGATGGTCAGAGGATTGGCCAGACACAAGCTGAGTGCACTTACCGTTACCAGACCACCTTTGGTTAAAGCCATAAAACCCACAAATAGCGGAACAAGTTTCGGGGCAAACATCACTGGATGATGTCAACGGGGGGATTGTCAGTGAGCCGAAAATCTATCACCATCGCAACGAAGTCGATTTAATGGGTCTGTTTTTGGGAACAACGAGATTGATTGATTGATCGGAATACGCTGATATTGGTATTGGTAGTAGGTGTGGTGGTGGTGGTGGTGCGTGATACTTTATTTAATTCTTCATTGAGGCCTCCACAGTGCACTCGAGAAGGAACAGCCGGCCCTTGCTGCGATACTTGCCGTAGTAGACGAGGGCCCGCAGGCGGTAGTCGCCGTTCAGGAGGTACGAGGGCACCAGACTCATGTCCACTTGATAGCCCTTGAGGTAGTAGGGTCCCGCCGGGATCGGGCAGTTCTCCATGAAGTTGCTGTTCTTGGCCACGCTGTGGATCCAGCGTCGGAACAGGGACTCCTTTAGGCTCGAGAGCAGTTCGCAGTAGTCGGTGTCGGTCTGGACCAGGCTCTGGAACTTCTTGGCGTTCGTCAGCCGCAGCTGGAGGTCGATGTGGCCGCGGAAGCCCGCCTTCAGGCCCTGCGCCAGATATATGTCCGCCATGATGGTGTTGTTGGCGATCGTCACGTTCAGGGTTCTGAAATACTTGGGGTTCTGCTCACAGTGGAGCCGGCTGAGGCTCACCGCACTGGGCTGGCCGTGAAAGGGGCTGTTAGATCCTGCACTCGGGCCTTCTCCTCCGATGCTTACCTGGGCCATGGGCAGGGCGAGGAGGAAAGCGAGGACGAGTGCTTTCTTGGACATAACTGCTCCCGATTTGACTTTGCAGTGCAATGGAAAGCGAATTTTATTGCTGGACAATTTGCGGCCCAATTGCACGGCCATCCGATCTGCTAATTGGTTTTAAATTACTCTCGAATTGCGCACTGGGAATCGGTTTATTTAAAGACTTTGGTATTTATATAGTCGACCTATCTAGGAGCCCAATTCAGTGCCCACTCTATGCCGCCCTCATCACCGCATAGATGTCTATGTCGAGGACAAAGTCCTCGTGTCTGGTCTTGTGCTTCCCGTAGAAGAAGTGCGAGAAGACGCGGTAGTCCCCGGGTATCAGGTAGTGCGGCACCAGCTGCGAGTCCAGCTTCCAGTCGTGCAGGAAGTAGCGGCCCGGGGGCACGGGGCAGTTGCTCATGAAGTTGCCGTGCTGGAGGATGCTCTGGAACCAGCTCTTGAACATGCTGGACTTCACCGACGAGACCACGGCGCAGACGTCCAGGACGTAGGCGAAGAGCCGCTGGTAGTTCCTTCTCTTGTCCAGGCTGATTTGCACGTCCATGAAGACCTTGAGGCCCCGCGGAATCGTCCTGGGCGTCTCCAAGTCCATGTACAGGGTGTTGTTGACGATGGCCAGGGTGAAGTTATTGAAGTGCTTCTCATTAAATGTGCACTTGCCCGTCTGGAAGACAAACGTTGACTGGGCCCCACGGGTCCCTGTTATCCCCGCCGACTGCCAACACTCTTTCCATCAAATACTCACTGCCTGCGTGCCCACGAGCAGCGTTGTAATGGTGAATAGCTTCAACATTTCCCTGCTAATGACGGCTGCAAAATGAGACGCGATACATGATTTTCCCTCGACCACTCATCGAACTGCTTTCCAGACTAAATTGATTATAATTGATGCCAATTTATGGCAATGTGGGTCACACATCGCCACACTTTGGGCCCCGAGCGACCGCTCTCTGCAGGAGGACCTCCAAGGCCTGGCCTATTGGCACCTGTTTTCTGGCTGCCCTCGTGACGAGTAAGAACACTGGACTTTGCCTTTAACACCCGTTTTATTTGTGATTCAGGGGTTTCGAATCTATGATTTCCTCACGAGCGCGTAGATGTCCATGTCGAGGGCAACGTCCTCGTGCTTGGTCTTCTGCTTGCCAAAGAAGAAGTGGGCCAACACGCGGTAGTCGCCGGGCATCAGGTAGTGCGGCACCAGCTGCGAGTCCAGCCTCCAGTTGCGGAGGAAGTAGTGGCCCGGGGGCACGGGGCAGTTGGTCATGAAGTTGCCGTGATCGCGCATGCTCTCGAACCAGCTCTTGAACATGCTGGTCCGCACCGACGAGACAATGCTGCAGGTGTCCAGGACGTGGGCGAAGAGTCGCTGGTAGCTCTTGCCCTTGTCGAGGCTGATCTGGACATCGATGAGCGCCTTGAGGCCCCGCGGAATCGTCCTGGGCGTCACCATGTCCAATTCCATGGTGTTGTTCACGATGGCCAGGGTGAAGTTATCAAAGTACTTCTCGTTAAAGCTGCAATTGCCCGTCTGGAAGACAAACGTGGACTGGCCCACACACAGGTCCCCGTTATCCCTGCCGACTAGCGTAGATCTGCCCTCCAATACTCACGGCCTGCGTGCCCACCCACTGGTGGAGGAAGAGCAGCGTTGTAATGGTGAATAAACTCAACATTTCTCCGCCAACGACGACTGTGGAATGAGCCTCGACATATAATTTGCTGTGCGAAGTGAGCGAGCCAGACTAAATTGATTATAATTGAAGGCCACAGAGCAGGTTAATGAAACTGGAGTCACAGGTCGGCTACTTTATTTCCGCGTAGAAGGCGCAGGCCACCACAAAGTCCCTAGTCTTCCGCTTGTCCCTGTACTGGGTCATGTTGAACGTCACCTTGTACTGGCCCGCGTACAGGAACGTGGGAATGAAGAGAGTGTTGTAGTTGTAGTCCTTCAGGAAGTAGTGGTTCGGATGCACGGGGCAGTAGCGCGGGAAGTTGCCGGCCTCGAAGAAGGTGGAAAACCAGCGCTTGAACATGCTGCTCTTCTTCAGCGCCAGTATGCTGCACATGTCCAGCGAGTACTGGAAGATCCTCTTGTATTCCCTGGTCTTGGGGACGCCTATGCGGAACTCCAGGTCCATGGTCACGCCCGGGTCTAGGCGGCGCAGCAGGAATGTATCGAAATATACCCTGGAATTCCTCACCACCAACGACACGTTGGAGAGGTAGCTCCGATTGAAGTCGCTGCACACACTGTCTATCATATTTATTTTCCCCATCTGGAGGGGTGTTATCTGTAGTACAGGAGTCGTTTAGGGCGTACGCATATTTACCACCTCCGTAGCAGCCAACAGCAACCCCACCAAGAGCCCGAAACGTCCGGAGGAGTGAAATTTCATTGATCTTTTCGATATTTTCGTCAAATTCTGACTGAACCCAAAGTCCAAAAGTTCCAGACTCAAACGCCAGACACGTTTAAAATAATCCCATCCAAAATGGAGGCCAGCAATTTGGTTATTGCGCATTTAAGAGGCTGGAGGTGGGTTCCGAAAATTGATTTAAAGTCGACTCGATTCTCTATCGACCAATAGATAACTATTGTCGAGGAACCAGTTATGGGCGGTGGGGGAAGGGCAATTATGATAATGACAAATGCTCATTAGGCCATGGCAGCGATGGCCTATCTATCGCGTTGATTCCGGGCCAAAATTCAGCCCATTGCCGGCCGGGCCACAGCCAAATGGAATTAGTCTCTAGCACAGTGTGAAATATGAATATCCGAAGGTGTTGCCAGCTAATAATTCCCGGCCTGCTCTGGGCCTGGTATCTGCGAGCGGCTCGAGCCACTGTGGGTATACCGCCTTGGGATGGAATTCTAACACCCCTAAGTACATCCCTTCTTTTAGAGAAGTTTGCAGATTGAGAGTCACAAGTGCGACTACAATGGCAAGTACATCGAGAGCTTCAATGTGTCGGTCGTGGAGAACCGCATCTCCTGTGAACTGCTGACCAAAGTGCGGATCCCATCGGCAGTGAAGTTCCACATGGGCCTCGAAAGGGGCGCTGGCCCCCTGGGACCCTACAACTCGTTCTTCCAGTACGACATCGACTACTGCAAGACGGTCGGCTCCTATCGCAAGACCCTGTTCAAGAAATGGATCCTCAGCGTGGTCAAGGGGGGACAGTTCCCCAGGCGCTGCCCCTGGGCGAAGGGCACGTACTCGCTCAGGGACTGGGAGCTGAGCGACGAGCTCATACCGCAATTCATAGTCTCAGGACACTATCGGAGCAAAATTATCACCCATCTGGGGAGCCTGGGCAGCCCCACCTACGAAATGCTGGTCGAGTGCGTGATTATTTCGCAGCTGATATGATCGGGGGGCTCTATAATGCTCTGAAAATAAAGAATGGCTCCACTGAAGTGTGACAAGAGCTTCAATTATCTCATTAGCTCGGCCACGGTCGAAAGGCATTGAAATTTCAATCGGGGTTTTGTTGCAGATGCGTTCCCTGGGTTCCCCGGGTTCCCTGGGCTTTAAGCCGCCGCAGCCCCTGACAGACGGAGAGTCAGTCATTCGTGCGGGGCTCATCTCATCCGAAATGCAGTCAACGTGTCTATGTTTATCCAGCGTGTGGTCTCCTTCCACCTTGCAGCTCCTTCCCGGGGCGTTTATGTGCACGAACCACTGCAGAAAACAATTGCACGTAATTCTGCTTACGCCGTAACATTGCAACAATGCCACGGAACGGCATGGATAAAAAACAAAAAACAAAAAACAAAAAAACAAAACCTGCCTTGCCGTTTGTTAGAGCTCTCTGTTTTTCTGTATTTTTTTTTCCAGCAGTGCTGCCCTGCCGCCTTCCTGCGGTTGCGACAGTCTGATGGCCAGACAGAGTGACAAACAGTCGGACGGACGGACAGACGGAGGGAGTGACGGACGGATAGACTGACTGACTGACAGACAGACAGACAGACAGTGGAGCTGTCAGACGTCGACCTATGCGCTTAATCAGAATCGGGTCTGTCGAAACTAAGGCGCCATTTTCAATTGTCCAACGTTGTCTGGGCCTAAATCCGAGTTGCCGGGTTCCCGGGCTCCCGGGTTGCCGGGTTGCCGGGTTCCCCGTTTACCAACTACCAGTTCCTGGTGTTGGCCAAATAAATGTCTTGCCTTCTTTCTTCTTTTGTTTCTCTGTTTGTCCCTCTTTCGGCTTTCACTCCGTGACTGCCGGCCGCCTGACTGCGTGGCCTTCCTTCTGGTGGCAGCCTTCGTGACTGCCTTCCTGCCTGCCCAAGTGTGTGTGTGCCCTGTGTGTGTGCCTGCATATTGCATTTATTTACATAGGCCTGGTCTGACTTTTGATTTTAAGCTCTTTGGCTCTGTTCGCTCTTCTAACTCAATTCCCTTTTCGAGGCCTTAGCCCTTGCAGCTGTCCCGGCGCCAGGTACACCTACTTCTACCTCTCTATGGGCATGTGTATGTGTATGTGTATGTGTATGTGTGTGTATGTATTGCGTATGTGTTGTGTATCCGTCGGTGTGTGGTTGAGTGTGGCTTTATGTATTTGCGGATGCATTTACGTGCTCTGCCTCCGCCTCTGCCTCTAGCCCGTTCTGGGTCTGTGTGGGTCTCCTGTGCAGGGATGCTCTCTCGGGTCCGTGACCATCACCACAGACGTGATGTGTGACTTTTGTTGCTTGAAGTTTCCGGATTATGTGGGCTGTGCCGACTGAAGTGCAGCTTGTTCTTTAATGCTTTAGAAAGTACTCTGCTCGGGCTTTTCCCTGCTCTAATGACATGCTGGCGAGAAGACTGCTCATTATGGTGGCGGCGGGGGGGATTAAAGAGCGTGACGATACCAAGAAAATGGTTATCGTATCGTATCGTATCGTATGCCTTCTGGGAACTTTAATCTCAATCGACATAATGGTCGAGAGATCTCTTTGGGATCCCACAATCTCCACGACTATCCTTCCGCGTTCTTCCCACTGATTGCCTTCAGATTGGCAAAAAATATATGGGGGGAAAATGCCTCGTCAACGATTTCGACCGCATTTCTGATTTGGCCAGACAATATTGCTCCTCCTCGTTTCGTTCCTCTTCGGTGGCACTCCAATTTAAAACGGCAATCAAAAGTGCAACGGAGGAAGACAATTTTCACACTTGGCATGAAAGAAATATATATTTTGCTTGGCAAATATGCTGACCCCTCAGAGCAAACAAGCAGCAGGCTGGAGAGAGCAGTGGCAGTGGCAGTGGCAGCAGTGGCAGTGGCACTCGTGCGAGGCGAAGGAAAACGTCATCATAAATGCCCCGAAATGGTTGCCAGAAGCCAGAAGATAGAAGACAGAAGAAGGCAGCCGCAACAGTGCAGCCAGGAGCAGCAATCAGAGGCGCCTGGAAATATGCAATGCGAAAAATCAACAGAACGAGGAACGACCCCAATTACCCTCGTTTCGGCTCATGCCAATGGTGAAGGGAGCGAAAAATCCCTGCATATTTACAGGCGTTTGCATGAAAATTTGTCACCTAGCAGAGCAAACACCTCCAAATGGCTCTCTCTGTGTGCGACTGTGTGACTGTGTGTGTCTGTGTGTGTCTGTGTGTGTGTGTGTTGGTGTGGCATGTAATCGAGCCTACATCTGTAGATATGCATTGCCTGTGCAACAAGAAGCCCCACAGTAATCGACACTTGGGCGAGGCAAACAGTTTGCCGAGCGAACCGTGGCCTCGTTCTCGTGTCCGTGCGGCACTTCGTTGCCGTTCGGTGCGTTTGCGCCTACTGCCATGCAATTGTAGGGGCAAGGATGCACGGCTCGCCTGGAAATGAGCAGGCCCCCGATTGGTCGACGCCCGGCGTGGTCATAAAGTTTTCATGGCCGGACGGGATTGGTCCGGCAGCCGAGCACAGGGGCGGCTCCGAGTGCGCATGAGCGGGGAGCGAGAGCGGGGCCAGGATGCGCTCAGCAAATAGTAGGAGCGCCCCGCACTATGCTACAGTGTTGTGTCACTTTTTGGACTATTTTCCACCGCCACGAGGGTTCGGCTCGTCCTGTCGTCTGACGATTAAAGCTTTGCCTTGCGTTTTGCGCTTTGCGCGTGGTGAAAATCGGCTCGGGGAATCACCGCTCTCGAGTGGTGGTGGTTTTTCCACCCATGCACATTTTTATGTGCCAACTAATTGCATTGGAATGTTCCTGTCCGCCGTCCTGTATGTCCCGCACATCCTGCATGTCCTGTATTTGCATGCGCTCTTCGAATGTTTGACATTGATTGCATTTACAATTTGTATCAATGGGGCAGCATTCGATTCGGGAATTCGATTATTGAGAGCTTATGAATTCTTATGGAATTTTTGTCTTTATTCTCAAGCCAAATAATTATTGCCTGATCGGGGGCTGGATACATCCCATAGATAAAGTCGAAGTCGCAGATTTAGAAGATCCCCCATTCTCGAACTGCGATCAAGATTTCGCTATTCAATTGGTTTTTTGCCCTGAAAGGGTTTTCCATTCAATTACAATTACTTTAGCCTTCATTTTCCATTCGAATGTTTCCACCCCAAGTAATACCCTTGGGCCCCAGCTTTTGTGGAGACTTTCGTATCCGTCTCGCTCTTGTTATGGCTCTCTCTCTCTTTCCCACTACATTTACTTCGAACTCTACACGCAATTCGCCGCAATTCGCCTTGGCGGCAAAAGCTTTCATGCACTGGGAGAAAATGTCCATTAAGAGTCAGCTGGGAGAGAGCTTTTCCTTGTTTTCTTTTTCCGTTTTCAAAACAAAAACAAAAATTTTTTTTTATACAACAAACCAAAACTCGCACCCAAAGCAGGACATTTAGCTTGTGCCTTGTTTATCAATAATTTCTCTTTTAACTCTACATCAAATTTGGCTTTGAAATAATTGCAATTATTGCAACAATACTTTACGTTTTCGTGGTAACAGCTGATGCAGCGCGATTAGGCTATCGATACATCGGGATAACATCTCTGTAACACATAATAGGGGGTTCTGTGCGCTTAACAGCACCATACTGTGCGCTTAACCACACTAAATTGTGCGCTTAACAGCACTAAACTGTGCCCTTAACAACACTAAATTGTACGCTTAAAAACACTAAATTGTGCATTTAACAACACTAAACTGTGCGCTTAACAACACTAAATTGTGCCCTTAACAACACTAAACTGTGCGCTTAACAACACTAAATCGTGCGCCTAAGAGAAAATGTGAAAAATAAACATTTCGATGACGAAAATTCGCGCCCACGGGAG